TAATATGCATGTATGAAAATAAAAAGGGTAAATTTTAGGGTACAACACCAAGCCATCATGGAGACTCCAATTCCTAAAGGGATGGAGAAACCTCCTCATCTGAAGGAGTACGATGACATTGCCGACCGTGTCGACCACATCGACCACTTTGATGTGATGCTCCACAATCACGATGCTCCATAATCACTTTGATGTGACACTGAGGAAAATAATCATGAACTGGTACAAAAATCTCCCCCCAAGTCGATCACCTCATGGAAGAGCCTGAAGAACCAATTCCTCAGCAGCTTCGCAACATCTTCCGGCATCCTAAAACTGAGGCTGCCCTCGAGGAAATCATCTAGAGAAGCGATGAGACCCTCAGAGAGTACATCGATCGATTTCAATAATGAGGCCATTCAAGTCCCCTGCACTGATCACATGAAGAGATACTTGCTCGAGAGAGGACTCCTCGCGGGAACTGAGTTCAGAAAGGCTGTCAGCATCCAGCCTCCCAGGTCTTTTAACGCATTCCTCGACAAAGCCCGAGCCTACATGACCTACGAGGAGAAAGAGGCTGCCACAATTCCATTGAGTCAAGGAACCACGTACCAACTAACATCCTGCGGCACAACGACACAGGCCCTCCTCGACGAACAGGGGAGAAGATAAGGGAAGAGAAGCCCCGCGACTCTCGTGAGCATAAAGGACTAATTGGGAGATTCACCGAATACACCCCGCTGACTGCTTCCCGCGAGCGTATCCTTGCGGAGTGCTCTATTGTTGAATTTAAGGACGACAGGGTCAGATGCCCTCGACCAACACCTGTTAAGCCCGGGGCCGACAGGACAAAATACTATTAATACCACCGGAGCCACGGTCACTTGATTGAAGACTGCGTCCACCTGAAGGATGACATTGAGACTCTCATAAAGGCAGGGAGAGTTGGGCAATACAAGAGGAACGACACTCCTCGCCAAGATACCCGTGAGGTTAAAGAAATTGAAGACGATGTCCGACCATTCAATGAGTTTTGTCCCCTCCAGGAAGCCTTCTGCGTCTCCAGGCCCGAGGACTTTCACATCCCCGATGGTCTCGAAGATAACAAACCTCTGTTCACCCACAACAGATGGGAGAAGTTTCCCTCCACCATGGTCATATTTGGCGATGGGTTCAGTGACGTCTCAATGAATTAAACAAAGAGAAAATTCAACAAGCTGATAGATGCAACCTTGGTCCAGGTTGTAACCCTTGAAAGGTTCAGGGGAAAATCTAAGCTAATCACATTTTATCTCGAGAAGCTACCCAGTGGAGCCCCCAACTCCAACATTCGTTTGTTGGTGAGGGCGAAGATGGCAAACTTCGACGTACATTGCTTCTTGGTCAATGAAGGGAGTTCCGTCGACTTCATATGCACCCACTTATTCCGCCACCATGCAGCTCGATAATGTCCACCTGTCACCATATGTGAGGTCCGACCTGCAAGGATTTAACGGTTCGATCTCCAAGCCTTGGGGTTACATCGAGCTATTGGTCATGTTCGGGGAAGAAACCACATCCCAACAGGTCATAGTGCGGTTTCTGGTGATCGATTTCCCCTCTCTGTACATCTGCATCCTGGGGAGACCAACACTGGCCGAGCTGACCATCGTACCCTCCACGGTACATTTGAAGATGAAGTTCTACACCAAGAGGGCTCGCGTCGCCACCATCCATGGAAACATATCAGTTTCTAGAAGATGTTTAAATGCAGCCTCCAAAGGACAAAACATGGTCGACAATGGGGTACGACCTACCAATAGAACGACCCCCTTGTCAGCAGCGGCTCCCTCGGCGGACAAACTTGCTCAAGCTGAAGAACAACAAGCTCCACCAAAGGTCGACTCCGATGACCACGACACCTGCTTCAACAAAGATGAAGTTGAGGCCCCTAATGGAGAACATGATCCTCTTCGACCCGTTCCCGATAGAGACATTGAGTTCATCCCCCTCACCGAAGATCCAAGTAAAGGTGTGAAGATCAATGTTGGACTCCCCAACTTGGCGAGGAAACAACTCAAATCCTCTCTACGGGAAAACACTAATTTGTTTGCATGGAGCACTGCAGAGATGCCTTGACTCGACCCTGAAGTCGCCTCTCACCAACTTGCTGTGGATCCATCCGCTAGGGCAATAGTTCGACGTAGGCGTAGGCAGTCTCCCGAAAAAGTGGAGGCTGCTGAAAAAGCTGTAAAAGACCTCCTAGAGGCAAATTTTATTTTTGAAGCTCGGGCATGTGTTGACTATACTGATCTCAACCGGGCATGTCCCAAATATGCATTTCCTTTACCTTACATTGACATGTTGGTCGATAACTCGGCCGACTAAATTTTTTATCATTTATGGATGCATATTCGGGCTATAATAAAATCCCCATGGTGATGAACGACAAATATTTCACTGTATTCATGACTGGGTCAGATAATTACTACTAAAACGTAATGCCCTTAGGCCTAAAATACACAAGGGAAACATACTAGTGGATGATGAACAAAGTTTTCCGTGGTGAGATCGAGGACATGCTTGAGGTATACATGAATGACATGATCATCATGTCTCGAGTAGAAACTGACCATGCTGCCCACCTCAAAAGAGTTTTCGCCCAAGCAAGACGATGCAAGATAAGGTTTAACCTGGAGAAATGCACCTTCAGGGTCAAGTTGGGAAAATTCCTAGGTTTCTATCTAACTGAATGGGGAATTGAAGCCAACCCTAATAAATTCCGAGCATTCTCTGAGCTCCCCACACCAAACTCGAAAAAATCCATACAAGTCTTGAACGACATGCTCACCTTGTTGTCCCGCTTCGTGGCGAAGTCCATGCAACACACACTCCCATTTTTCAAACTCTTGCGTAAAGAGGCGGCTTTTGAGTGGACCGAGGAGTGCGAGAAAGCCCTCTTCCACCTCAATCGAGCCCTTTCACAACTGCACATTGAAGCATCTGGATAAATCATCAAAATAAACAATGAATTCGCAATCAAACATTTTTTATCCCGTTGAAGGGAAAGGTAAACATCGAGTAAACTTGAAGGGTGAAATCACGGTCTTGCGACCAAGAGATCGGGTAAGGGAGTCGATTATGCGAGGGGAATGTATTAACACCCCTCACGTTTGTGGTACTCCATATGATCCACTCTTGTTGTCTAATCTAATGGGTGTGTCTGAATCTAAAGCTAGGCTATGAAGGCAATGCATGAATGCAAAGGTTTATTTACAAAAAAAAGTTTTATTAGTCGTGTCTACCGCGGTTACGAACCTTTATGTTGTGCAATGAGGATCAAGGAACTCATAGTTCCCCTTAAACTTTTTGGTTGGTTGCATGTTTTTTATGAACAATGTTATCGAAGCATGTCCTTTTCGAAAATGTTTTGAAGAAAACGTCCAAAGACAAAAACGTTTGCGTTGGTTGGTTATTTTTACCTTGAAAAAGGGTATGAGTGAAGTTAAAGATGTTTTATGATCTTTGAACAACGAAAAGGAGTTTTAGTTTTAAAGGAATGCCAAAAGAAAAATCTAAACAAAAGAGAAATTTCAATCCTACTTGTTGTCATGCTTGTGGACCTAAAGTTTGGATCAACGAAATTCTACCTAATGTTGGCATACATGGATAAACATTCTAGGGTCTACTTAGTTCGATCTTACCTAAGAAAGAACTAAGAATCCAATGGGGAGCATGTGAAAATACACAAGAAACAACAAGTTATCAATCAAACACTAAACAAGGCATGAAAGTAAACACGGAGCTTGAGGAGTATTCACTCACATAAGTAGCACGCACCTAACTGGGGTATCATGTCACCATGGTAGGAAGGGAGAGAGAAGCCTAACCATGATATCATGTCATCAAGGCATGATAAAGGAAGTGAGACACCTAACCATGATATCATGTCATCAAGGTAGGATAGGGGATGTTCCTGACCATAGATATCGTGTCATCTAGGAAAGAAGGGGTAATGAAAGCTATTCTTAACCAAGGTATCATGTCAGCGAGGCAAGAAGTAAAGAGGGGAAGTGAATGTCCAAAGTGACTAAACACCTAACCAAGATATCGAAAATCGAGGTAGGAGATAGAAGACAATATGAACAATCACGGAGCATCAATGTTGACCAACACGAGCTTAAGACAAAGTGTGGGGGATTTGGTTGCAAAACCCTTTTCCACTTGATCGACTCGATACAAGAGTAATCACACTCTGAAGTGTCAGCGTACTACGCGAGCTTAGAATGACATAAGACTGAAACTGGAAGGTCGATTGCGGACCCTATGCTCGCTTTGCCTTCTCTGAGGATTTAATAATGGGGAATGGGAATGGGACGACTCTTTTGAGGTGTTTGGCACTACTGTAAACACACAGAACAAACACAAGTAGCAAAAAAAGTGCATAATTCTTCTAAAGGACTTTAAATAGCGACTTCAAAGCGCACGCTTTTTATTATCCTACTTCTCATGATATCTAGAAAGCGGTAAAACATGCACTTCTATCCATACTTCTCATGGAATCAGAAAGCGGTAAAGAATGCAAAATAATGGCACGAGAGAATACCAAATGGATAACAATCCGTATATGCTAAGCAGTAGCAAAAGAAACCCAGAATACTTTGCGAGCAGTTGGCATCAATAACACAATAATAAGAAATTTGGTGCCCGTAATATGTTTCAAAGCAGTAATGTAAAAATAAATCACAACACAGAATGTGTATCAAACACATCCAAATATCAATAGTACACCTCCACAAGATAATGATCCAGACAAGCAAAACAGAATAACAGATAACACGGAATATGTGTCATACACATCCGTATAACAAATGGTACACCTGCACGAGATGAAAATCCGAACAAGTGATAACAAAATATATCCTCTCGTAAAATGAGAACAAAAGACAAGTGTATCAGACACTAGCTCAAACTACAAATAAATTGCATAAATTACCCTTCAATCGAATAATCAAGTGATAATTAAATGATCGAAAGCCATCTCAAAGCACCTTGCACCAATCAACAAACACATTAGAAATAACAAGGATACAAAATCAAAGTTATGTATTTACATCATTAACTAAATCAAGGATGAATGATAAAGAAACGGAATCCAATATGCATTGGAACATTTATATCAAGAGCGGGGCAGCATTGCGATTAAAACATGAATTAAACTGAAAAAACACATCGGAATTAAGGAAACTCCATCACAATGGTTCATGAACGAACAATAAAATGTAAACACACATTATAATAAAGTTACAACTCAATGTATATGTCAAAAAGGTACCAAATAACACTATGCTAAAAAATTAGGCGCACAAAACGTCGAAACTAAATCGCATGAAAATCACATGGTAGCCACCAAACATGCCAACAAACTCAAAAAGTGGTTCCCACAAGTTAAATCAAATCGCAAGTTCTACTTCTAAATCCCAAGCATTAACTCCATAATATGTGAAATCTCACCGAAAATTGAATCAAAATGAGCCAAAATCGATACCGATATCAGCCAATTGATTAATTAAACTCCACAAAATATTATACAAGAATTAAACTCAAATGCACATGCAAAAAGTAAGTTCCGGACAACCAAATATCCTTTCATGAAATACAAAAAATATCGGTTCAAAATCAACCTCAATTGATACCGGTATCCACCGTAAGCTAAACAAAGATTAATGATGTATCAGACATAAATTAAATCTATTATTTACACACATTTCCACTACCAGATATCACTATGTAACCACTAAAAGTAAGCCAGAAAATGGTATCGGAACCACAAAAACTCATCAACAACGGTCATGAAACAATTAATTATGTATAAGAAATCAAAAAAATGAAGACAAAAAAAAAGTACATGATTAAAGCAATTCCGGACAGCAACTATACACATTATAGAATGCACAAAAATATCGGAATAAAATCAACTGAAAATGCTACTGGTAGCAACCATGTACCAACACAAAGCGTGTCTTTGCATCAGGCAAAGTTAAAACACAATTTGGAAGACATGCATGCTCTTTGGGCATCACTATTCACGAGTCAATGAATGTTCAAAATTTTGTTTTTAAAATGAGTGTCAACTCATGAATCATGGCCTAGAAGCTTCAAACATTTATTGAAAATTAAATCCGCATTAGAAACATGCTATTTCGATCATAAATGGTAAAATTCAAGTGTTAACACAATTCTTGAATAAAAAAGTTTTATGTTGAAAAATTGAATTACCATTCAATTCAACTCAAGAATCATGTTAACTATTGATTTTACAAATTATCAACATCAAAAATCAATCGCAAACAATATTCCATAATTAAATCTCAAGAAACTAAGATTAAAGAGCCATACAACTCAAGGAATCCAAAAAATCACAAAATTGGAATTAAATCAACGAATATCTATCATATTCATCTCTTTAACATTATCACAAATCAAGTGCAACCTCCAAAATTCAATTCTAATCAAGTTTTACATCATAAGCATTTTATCAAACACCTAAGCTACAACAAATTTCTCATATAAACTTCAAAAACTTCAACTCAAGATTATGTCAAATTCTTCAATAATTTACAAATCAATTAAAGCCTCAAACAAATATTTGAATCAAGAGCCAAATTCTTTCAAGATTCAACACTTTAATTCAACTTCTCATCAATATCCAACTCATGATTATAATAAAAAATGCAAACTCAATTCAACAATTTAAGCATAAGTATGAGAAATTACCAAATTGAAGAGATGAAAAGTTTGGAGAAGATGTTGTCTGGAAGTCGAATCGAAGAACGAATGGAGAATGTCGCGGCGATATCGATGAGGGGACGACAGGGATAGAGAAAGCTCTTCCGGGAATTGACGGTGGCGGGAGGATGCTGCACGGCAGCGTGAAAGTGCGTCAGAGAGGGACCAGATTAGAGAGAAGCCAGTTCACGGAGGAGAGGGAATTCGCGGAAGAGATGAAGATTTGATGGAGTTCTTTGACTCTTTGTGATTTTGTTTCAATGTTCTTGAAGAATTTTATAAAGAAAATTGAGAGAAAAAAGTTTTGTTCTTGGAAGAATAGAGAGAAAATTTGAGAAGTTTTTGGGAGTGAGTGAGTTATTAGATAAAATGTGAATTTTTGAAATATATATCTTTTCAATTGGGCCTTGGATTTGGATTTGAATTGGGCCTTATTTTGACAGTGTCGGTAAATTTAATGCATAACACGAGAAGAAAATGCCACGTCATCAACAATGTGAAATCTAGATTCGAGCCGTGATTGAAAAATGTAGATGACATTTCTGAAGTTATGAATTTCGGAAGTTACTCAGACGCTGTCTCAGACACATTTCTTCTCAGTTTCAACATTTTTTACCGTCTCACTTGCGAATTGGACCATAAACGAAAGCCTTCAGAGTACCGTTTGAACTCGAGGTCTGAAGAAAAGTTGAAGTTAAAAAAAATGTTTGCTCTATGCTCCAAGAATCGGCCCGATACGATAAAAATTAAGAGAGCTATGAATTTATAAACACCTAGGAAATAAACAACTGTCAATCTTTTTCAACTGTAAAAATCTCTTGTAATTCGCACTTTTGGAGACCTTCTAAACAGATTTGGCTCCCGGCCCGAACATACGAAATGTAGGAGACATCAAGGCAGAGTTTATGCCCAAAGAATGACTCCAAAATATTAAACCGGATGAAAGTTATGAATTTTTGAATGTCTGAAAAACAGCGGTTCAACACACTTTTTCACTGTATTTTTCACTGTACATCTTTAACGAACTCGCACATTCAAAGATCCTCTTCAAAGAATTCTCTCGTCCTAAACACGTGAATTGGAGAAGATATCAAGATGGATTTTATGGCAAAAGAACCAACCAGAGATGTTGATCCAGTCAGAAGATATGAATTTTCGAGCATCCAAAACACACTGGACAAACAAAACCAAAACTCTGGTTATTAAAATATTCAGAGGTCTTCCACACGAAATTGTCTTTTGGTCTGAACAAACGAAATGTAGAAAGAACCACTCAAAAATCCTTTTCTGACTAGAAGTTATGAATTTATGAAGTCCACGGTAAAATACCGATTTTCAGCTCAAATTGTTATGAAACGACCGAAACACTTGATTTTCCTTGTCGTTCAAGGCGCAATGGAGCACATGACAACTTGAAATGATAAGAATTTGTCTACTCACTGATAGGTAGCCTGGAGAATGTTCTCAGTGTGTCGGCTGACGAAATAAACGTCTTCCGCAACCTGGCGAGGCTTAAAAGAAATACCTTGATCCCATAACCATAAAACCAATTATATGTATGCATGTGATGATGAAATATAAGCAAAATAAAGTTGAAATGAAGAGGGTAAATTTTGGGGTACAACAACTGCCCCTATTCAATCGACTTAAACCTAAAGCGAGATTGGCGCCAACCTTTCGAGTGATAAGGTGGAAGAGGATTGAATACAAAAATGAACTAAAAAATGTGCGCTCAAAATTGAGCCAAAGGTGTATCGACACTGGGTGACTATTTTTAGGGTATTTTTTTTGTTGTTTCACGGTATTGAGCCAGAGAAACAGATCTGCAATCGGAGAAGGATAATGAACACTAAACTCGACCTAGGATGGATAGTGACCACTAGACGCAAAAAACAAGATCAATGACCACCGAACTCGATCAAAAAAACTAGTAAACACTAGACTCGAGAAGATACCAATGAAGAATGGATATAAAAGAAGAATACCAGTATCAACTGGTCTCGACCAAATTGTAACAGTTCCTTTCTGAACCAAAACAATTAGAACGTTATCTAAACGCCAGGGGATTGAGAAAAGGTAACGAGTGTCTACTCGCCCTTAGGAGTACTAAAGAAAAAATGTCAGGCAAGAACTGGATCACAAACAAAGTAAAGAGTATCCACTTAGCTTAAAAGGGAACTAATGACCACTAGACCTAAGAGTACTCAACATAATACCAATATCCATTGGATCTAAAACAAGCCGAACACTAGATAGCCTCAAACCGGGAAGAACCAGTAACCACTGAACCTAACAATGAATTAGAGATACAAAAGAGACAAATAACTACTTGACTCAGGAAAAACTATAAACCACTGGACTCTTAATAATAACAGAACATTATATTCAAAATCAGGTGACAAGTAACGAACTTGACCTCAATAAGAACCGGGGGACACCATCTTTACAAATGTTGCGCTAGGGAAGAACTGGATCACCAACAAGGAAAAAGAGTGACCACTCGAAGGGAGAGGAATAGTATCCAATAGACCCTATAGAATACCAAAACATTCATTATGAACAAGGTAGAAATTAAGAGAACATGACCTTAATAAGGAACTGATGACCACCAGACCTAAAATGTTGCACCAGGGAATAACTGGATCGCAACAAAGCAAAGAGTGACCCCACACCAGAAGGACATTAATATCCACTATCTTCTGGACATGGGGACTTCAGTACACATTTATCGTAAGAGAACTGGAAAAAAAGGTAGTATCATATGATAAACGACCTTTAGAAAGACTTGTTGGGAACATCATCGAATATCTGCAGGGTTTAATGAATCACTGGGTATATCAGGAATTTGAACAAAATCATTGGGGGAAAAGGTGAAATGATTGGCTTATAATTTAATTCATTTTTGAATTTTTCTTTTTATGGAGTAGTGTTCCCAAAATGAACAAAAACACTACACATTTGGGTGGATGCAATGTAATGATGCATGTTTATGACGTTTCACTGGAGAGTATCAAATTGAATAACCTGTAACCATTGGATGCAAATATTGCAAAAATAAATTGCCAGCTTTTACTGGGGAAAACTAACCACACTGCACACTCTGACTGATAATATCACTAGGGACTAAACACTGTCGGGAGTACCAATAAACGTTGGGTTTACAGGAACAAACTCGTCAACCTCTTCATTGGGAGTAGGAAAAATTTCATAACAAAAGTGAATCCATGCGCTTTTGTCAAACCGAGAACAAAAATCCACTGGGGAAAGAGAAGGAATCTTACAAAGAAGACCCTACTAGGGGTAGAGAACTTCCAACACGACTTGATTGGGGAAGGAGGAGAATTTCTCTACTAGAGAAAACTTCTTCTCTGTGAATAACCACTCACCAGTAAATCCATCCTTGTGAACATTCATAGGGGATTTATGAATTTTTTCCAGACTTTACCAAACCATTCACGGAGGAGAAGAAAACTTCACTGAGGAACAAATCTCTGTTTGGGGAAGAAGACTTCTTGACCAAAGAGTACTCTTGAAATTTGATTTCCGTCGGGGACTTAATGCAAAATCTCCGATCACCGGGGAAAAGCAAATTCCTGAAGAAGACTTATCGATGTAGATTGTGCTGGAGAAGCAAACCTCATAAGGTATTCAATGAAATTGTTGGGGAAAAGCAAATTCCTGAAAGCCAAACAGGTATAGACTTCACGGGGAATAAGGAATTTATGCACAATTCATTGGGGACACATCGGCTACTTCACGAGGGTAAATCAAGGAAACTTCTTGGGGATGTGAGAATTCTTACAAGAATTTCTCGAAAAGTGCTGGTCACACTGGGGAGGTAAAATGTTGTATCAAATCCACCAATATGCATTTCACTCGAAAGCAGGAGGAATTGGAATAAAGAGACTGCACTGGGGAGAACCCTTATCAAAGATTGTTCCCTGAAATAGCATTGAAGTGAAGGCAACTCAAGCGCATACTCTGTTGAGGAGAAACGGGTTATTACACACTTCAATGGGGAGAACATTATGCTTCAAACACCCTTAACAGGTAAGTTTCTACTGAACAAAAAGTGTTGACCACACTGGGGAAAAACATCCGCTTTAGGAAACAAATTGTCTTATCAAGAACTTTACACTATTAATAACCTCAATAGCTTTCTGCTTTCTTGCCAGCTCGCTTCTTTGTGATAAGTGAATGGCAGTTCCTGCAAAATAAAAAAAAATCACATCAAAGTGCCCCAAGTATACCGTATAGGAAAGAAATTGCCTTGAGAAAGTCTTTGTGAAAACCAGGTATCATACCGACTCAAGATAGAATGCCCCAGTGTATTCAAAGTTTGAATAACTTTCAACTGATTCATGGAGAGACTTGTCGAATATCGATGTAACTGCTTCAAATTGATTTAACTTTGAAGATATTCGCTTCGAGAGGAATTCCTGAGATATGCGCCATCATAGATAAGCTTCCCCGGTATTATGAGCTTTGAACATTATTTTTGGCTAACCTGGTTTCTGCCATGCTTAAGCGCATGCCTCTGATTACTCAATACTTTGAGAGTTTCCTCGAATCTTGATATAACTGCCCCGAGTTGGTGAAACTTTGAGAGATTCCTCGAATCTTGGCCTGACTTCCCCAGATTGGCTACACTTGGCACACATTTTACTCATCAGAGATTTAAAACTCATCCTTGATAGGGTGATCAAACTGTGAAAAAAAATCTCTCATACTCAACAGATTCTTCTGACCATCTAACTCTGGAATATTTCCCATCCTCAATAGAGTCTTAAGGCTTTGTATCACCTAGGATTCTTTGAAAGTGGTACGCCCCTGCTCAATGGAGTTTTCGAGAGAGTCTTCCCTAACCTCTTCAGATATTTGGATAGATTGATTGCATCTCAATATAGTTATCTCATAATGGTGGAATCTTCGATCTTACCTTCCTTAGGGTAAATAAATAGTGAAGCATCACCCTGCTCATACTCAACAGAGTCTCTAGTAAATCATGCCCCTTGATATTATCAGTTATCATCCTTTGAGATAGTTAACTTTTTCTTCAACAAAGTATTTAAACCTCCCTTCTTTAGAAAGATTAAGCTCTTCATTGACACTCATTGTGCAAGCTCACTTGATGTTTAAACACTTATTCATATGCAAAAGATTTTTTATTACGAGAATAATAATTCTAATGCAAAGCCTATGCTTGTCTTGAAGCGTAAAAACTTTTATTGAAAAGATGTCGAAACATTGAGTTTTTTTGTATGAAAGAAAGTAAAAAGATGTAGTGATACCAACTCAAAATTTTTACTAAGCCTCCTAGGAGTCAGATTACCGTACTCTCGTACAATATTGCTTCAAATTAACACATGCTTCAGTTAGGACTTTCAAGGGTTGTAATGTGGTCTGATTCACAGTTTTAGGAAAAAAGGATTTTAAGGCTCAAAAATATTTGGTGCCCACTCATTCTCTATGATATTCTTCAGTCCTGCATTCAGTTAACCCAATACGAGCACTCATCTCTTAAGAGGAGTTTATGATGGTTGAGGAACCACCGAGGTTTCTTGGACATGACAGTCAACCACCTTTGCTTATTTTGCATTTCTGGTCACACGACTTTGTTCTTTGTTGAGGATCTTCATTTTGTAATCCTTTCTTGCCTTTAAGGATTTTCCTTTTTCTTTTTCACTTTCCCTTACTTTTGCCTAGACAATTCTTTTTTATTTTCAAGTCCAACGGGATGCCCTAATTTTTTCCTAAGTCACTTGTTTTCAAGTTTTTCGACTTAGCGGGCTTTCTTACTTTTCTTTCTTTTTTATTCATTATCTTTCTTTTTGAACACATCGTGTGACTTCGAGTCATTTTCGACTTGTTGGAAGAATTGTGACTGGTTCATTCTCTGGTCGATGAGGGGTAACCATTATTGTATCATCATCTTTAATCCTCTTGACAGGTGATGGATAAGGTGTGGTGATCCTCAGATGTTCACTCCCTTTTGAAATTTGAACGCTCGATCAGATTAATTGAAATTTACCCTGCCCCGGGTTAAATGTGAGGGTTTTTCTGACAAGAAAAGAAACTCCTACTTTAAGGCTCAAAGGGGTTAGCGAGGGTCTATCTCTCTTATATCTCCGGTGTTTAGGAATTTGAAACAATGCATGTACATCGTCAGCAGGGTTTTACTCAAAAGCATACCGTCTGAGATTATTGGTATATTTCTCATCATCCTACCTCCAGAGGTTTTACTTTATCAAACAAGAGTTGAGTATCAAAAAGCATAAAAAAACATAAATGAGTGAATACGAATGGATTAATTCAAGACAAACATATCTGATGCATTGTGATTTAATATTAAAAAACAAACAGTTTTACATATAAGAAAGTACTGAACAAAACAAGAAAGATTACAAATGAGAATGCAAATGAAACTAGAAATGGCCATATTAAGGAGGAATGATTAAATATAGACTTATTTCTCCATACGGCCTTTAGAAGTCTTGATGCTCACTCGGGAACATGATTCCCATTCTTATCTAGCGTGAACATAATTGCATTTGAATCAATCAGGTCTTGGACCTTTTTTTTGAATTGTTCACAATCTTCAATCGTATAGCCATGTTACCTAGAGTGATATTCGCACATGACATTCACATTATATCCTTCAGGAATAGGTGATGGAGGAGGACCAAGCTCCTTTAACTCGACCAACTGGAGATTAAGCAAATGATAAAGTAATTGATTGTAATTCATAGTAATTGGGTCAAACTTCCTTGGTGGCCTCCTTGATCTCTGTTGGCCCGACAGTTTATAAGGACGGTATCTGTTATGACCAAGCATTTGATTCTTATGACTCGAAATAGACACTGGTTGTCGGAGAGGAATCTTTAGGAGTGTAGATGATGAATTAGGTGTCTTAGAATGTGAAGTAGAGCCTCAAGAACGAGAGGTAACCACCACTTTCTCTGCTCCAAAAGGATTGACATGTATATTAGAACCGTCTGGACTGAACACAAATGCCCTAGAATTAAGCAAGTCACGAACTTTGTACTTCAATGCCATACATTCCTCTACATCGTGACCTACACCACCAGAATGGAATTCACAATGGGAGTTAGTGTCATGGCTTGCGGAGAAATCCTTAATAGGCATGTTTTGTCGATTGACAAATTGAAACTGTAACAAGAGCTAGAGTAATTGCGAATACGAAATTGGTATGGGGTCGAACTGAGTCTCAAGCCTCTTCTGTTGTGGTTCATGAGTTACACGCCTCTGGTTCTCTTAGTTAACCGAAAGTAACTTCTGGTGAGAATATTTCAGTGCCCTAGGTTGTGAAGAAGATCCATAAGGTACCACCTGGCGCACTGCAATTCCTATAAAATAAGGAATAGAAACAACTCATGTGGTATCAATAGGCACGAGATCATGTCCTTTCTTCAGCATTGTCTTCAAAACTTCCATAACCAAACTCACTTGAGTCCTTAACTGATCAAACTCTTCCTTAAGTAGATTCTGACCATGGACCATAGCTTGGATGTCCACCATAAACAAACCTATCCGAGCCCTCATTTCAACCTTCATCTCAGTAAAATCAGCTTGGATTTGTTCCTTGTTTGATCTTTGAACACGTAATAGTGGGAAGTCAAGATTTACAGTTCTAAAAAGAATACCAAGTCTGAATAAGAATCCCCTAATCTGATTACTTGTTATGAATGCATGAAGATGCATGAGTGGATGCAATTCCATGTTCGATCATTTCCTAAGAACCCTCATGCTTTGATTCTTTTGTAAATAAGATATGGAAAAGCGCAACACAAGGAATACAAGTACGGTTCCTTGGAAATGGAAAGAACATGTGTTTTTAAAATGATGTTAACACATTATGTGTGCGCTAATACGGAATCAAGGTTTCCATCACAACGAATAAATGTTGCATTGTTTATGAACTCTCTGAATATCGTAGGGTCAAAGGTTCAACACCAATATCAGAGCTCGAGGAAAAAAGTCTGAATATCATAGAATCAAAAGTTCAACACCATTTCGAAACATAAGAACCAAGTGCCAATGAACATCAACTACTGTATGGGATGAAAGCCTCCACAATACTGGATAATTACTGAACAGGAAAAATAAATGGCTATTACAAGGTAAGAAGTCCAAAACAAAAAATCGAGAGAACATATAGTCACCAACAGGAACAAAGTCACCAACAATACCAAAAATCACCATCAGTACCTGTAAAATCAAACTCTTCCCGCTCACAGGTGAAAACTAGGTCAGGGTAGGAAAATGTGACTTTGAATCATAAGTTCACTTGAGAATACTACCGTTATTACAACAGACGTGTGTGAAGATAACAACTCATTTGAACCTCAACTAAGCGCAGACCACATGACCGTGCTAGTATGGACCTGGGTCCAATAGTCATCATGCTCCGCTCTATTCCTAATGTTCCTATTATGCACCGCTCTAGCCTGGGTACTAGGCCTTTTACCTCATGGTAACACCCACCTAACAAGAAGAACATATACAGTCCAATAGATAATTATATATAGAAAGAGGTAAAATGCGAATGAAAACATATGCACAAATAAATACAAGTAATCATTGTTGTACATGTAAGAGAATAAGCAAAACACACCTAGATAAAAAACAAAAGCTAGGACTGACTCACGGGATGGACCAACAATTAGTCAATCTTTCCCCAGTCAAGTTGCCAGCTGAAGCAACTGGATAAATCATAGAAATGAACAATGAAGTCACCGTTAAACGTTTTTTATCCCGCCAAAGGGAAAGGTAAACATCGAGTAAATCTGAAGGGTGAAATCACGGTCTTGCGACCAAGAGACCGGGTAAGGGAGTCGATTACTAGAGGGGAAAGTATTAACACCCCTCATATATGTGGTACTCCATGGGATCCACTCTTGTTGTCTAATCTAATGGGTGTGTCTGAATCCAAAGCTATGCTATGAAGGGAATGCATGAATGCAAAGGTTTATTTACAAAAAAAAGGTTTTATTAGTCGTGTCTACC